CCCCCCAGATAGGTCTCTGGATCCGCCACTGACTGTTGACGTTCAACAACAACAACAATAATACGTCTCTGCTTTACATTTGATATTTCATGCTTTTGCTTTTTGCCGGTTGACTGGTAAACCACCATCCGAAGATTATCACCAGGTGCGCGAAAGGGAAATAAGAAAACTTTTATCGAAAGCATAGGAAAGTGTGAATATATAGGGAAGGAAGACAAGAAGGAGAGAAGAAAAGATGAAAGTAAAAAGGAAAGACATATGTTCCATATTCATTATCAATGACTTCTTCATCATTCCTTCTGATTAATATTGCCTATATATCATATTAATGACATATCTTCATCTTCATCTTGAAACCTTCCTCCGTCAATATTGACGATTGTACGGATTTGTGGTCTTGTGTTGTAGTGCATTGTTGTGTATAATGGTGTTTTTTTGCGTTCAGTGTTTTTTATATTCTTTTTTTTTTTTATATAATATCACCGTCCAAAGACGTATATTAATATTTATATAACATTTATATTGTTGTAATATGTGCGTCTCTTTTCTGTCTAATTGACATTGTCTTTAAATCTGCACAACGACGTTTATTTGCGTCTAATATCTCTACACGGAGTCGTCGTTCCTTGTAAGTGAGTGTAAGGAACGACAACTCTTGATTGCTGCGGAGACCTCGTGCAGAAAAAGCAGACAAGGATGTGAGAAGGTAGGCCTTATGTGAAACAATCTGGTTTATTTATCACGACCGATTAACTGTGCTTTATTTCAGCATTTTGATGGACGTAGTTGTTAAGAAGTATTGGAAAATGTTGCAACGAGAAATGGACATCGTCACAAAGCATGTTATAAATCGTTCTCGAAATCGTCTGTTCTGTCTGCAAATCGCTAAGTGGCACAGGTTGACAGGGTCTTGTTGTCTTCTTCTTCTTCCGGTTCAGTGCAACGCCAATATCAAGTAATTTCGCACTCTGTGTGAAGGGGTGAGCGTCTATGCTACAGTGCAGGCGCGTAACTACCATGTAAGCCAATAAGCCCGGGCTTGCACATGATTTTGAAAAGTATAGGTTTTCATGACATTTTTTTTTCTTGCTGATACTATACAGTGGAGTTTAAGTTTTGAATATATAGTATACTTATGCAATTCCTCACATATGATACAGTGTTAATAGTTAGTACAAAAATGTATGAAGTTTAGAAATGTCCATTACATTGATGGACAGTTCCAGGCGGAACTAAACTGCTCGCTTGAGTAAATTGAGAAACTCACGCCTGGCGCAAACGACTCCGAGTATGGCACAGTGGACACAGACAATCAATGTGGGTTTTTTTTATGAAAATATCAATTTGGGGCACGTTCGGCCCCTTTTGCCGGGGCACATTCGGCCACCCCGAATGCAACTGTTATTGTGCCAAGTGACGTCACTATTGATAACGTCACCCAATTGACCACAAAAATAATATTTTTACGTCGCAAAAATTAAGTATTTTTTTCTTTGTATTCACTGATTTGTTCTGGACTTATTTTCCAACAGAATTGAATGAAATTCCATACACTTATTAGTAAATTGTCTTCTCTATCCTTCATGCCATACTTGCCCTGGTAGGGGCCGGATTTACCTCAGGGCGGGGCTCGTCCGGCCCCCAACTCTCTCGACCTAAAAAGTCCAATAATTCCCAAAATATGGTCTTGTTTACGATTTGGTTATTAGTTTATGAAAGACAATACATTTCTTTTCTAAATGACATATATAAATATGCATTTCAACAGTATAGTACATGCCTTCCATAACGTCTTGAAAAAAGAAAAGGGGCCGTGTTTGCCCCGGTCCCCCCTACACATGTATTATACATGTGTAGGGGAGACCGGGGCAAGTCCGGCCCCTTTTTTAAAACTATATTATAAATTACAACATATCATTATCTCAGACATCAGGACGTGGGAAATGGCTCCTGAGACGTTCTAGAAAACAAAATTTTCATGGGGGAGACCCCCCAGACCCCCCTTACGGGAGGGGGAAGACCCACTCCCGTACCCTCCCCCTGCTCGCGCTTCGAGGGGGGGGTGGCTGCCTTCGGCAACCCCATGTCGGGGCTAACACATGGTAAAGGGGCTAGCTACGCGCCTGCAGTGCACGCTAATATGGATAAAATGTTAAAAACACTAGAGTTGTCTACTGTTCGGATGCCCTGGACAGCTGGGTCATAAATTTTTGTTACTTTCATCCATTTCTTCAAATTTTGTAGTTATATTGCGAAGAAAATAAAATTTGCCGCCACAAAAAAATAAATAGGTTGTCAGTATTTTAAGGATTTTATATGGAAATTTATGTAAAAAGGAGTGAATTTTGAATGAAAGACACATTTTTTTGGCAAAATATAAAAATAATTGGATGTAAGAGTTATCTTTCTTGAAAAACTTCACAGTAGTGAAATAGGTAGCCGGTTTCCTGACGTACAGGAAAATGAACATATGTGACTCATTGATAAAAAACAACTGAATTAATGCCTGGATTAAAATACTATAATATTGAGAGAACACACTGTTCTGTCAATAATAAACATACCATATATATTCATCAGTTTAAGATTAAACAATGGACAAAACATAAACATAATGACTCATTACACAGTAATTATAGTACAATGCATTTCTGTATTCCAAATTCTGTCAAGAATAACAACTCTTTGGTAATATAATTATCAACAATGTTTTCTACTTATTTTTCCTGTATTTTTGGCACTTTGTAAAACAAAATAGTCTGAGAATCATTGAAACAAGCCTACAAATATTTAACTATGTATATAATAAATTGAAAAAATGAATATCTACTTCTGATTGATAACAAATTGAAAAATATGCTTAGCATGTGAGTAACATCATATTGTGAAACCAATAATTATTTTATTTCATATACATGTATTCAAAAATTTGTGTGATATGTTTCAACAAACATAAAAAAGAAGATATCTAATTATGTACATGTACTTTCCAAGTGTACTTAACACAAATAAAAGTGAGCAACCGTGATATTGATTTTAAAAGTGAGCAACCGTGATATTGATTTTAAAGAGGATGCATTGGTCCAACAAGTCCAGTAATACAAATATGTTATTGGAATTATCATGAAAACCTTTTTAATCTAATAAATTCTTTTGTTTCACATTTTTTTTGTTTTCTCTCCAAAAACAAGCTTGAGCCCATCTTCACCGTTTCTATTGTATATACACATAAAAGCTCGGTAACCAAAATTATTCGCAAGTTATTTACGGAGTTATGGCCCTTTGTAGAATTGTCGAAACAGTTTCCGTGCACTACAGGTATAATATATTATTTTTAGGAACTAATAGATCTTTGGTTAACCTTGAAATGAATGGGGAACAACAGGGATTTCTTGCATATTTTTGGATACAGCAACGAAAACCGTTCAAAATATGGTGCAAATCCGTAGCAAGCCAGTAGAATCAATTCCATTTCTATGGATAATCGTAAAACAAGCTCATTATTTGTCAAATTATTGTTTACACTTTAACAGGGGGAGCGGTGTTCCACAGCTACAGCATGACCTGTCCCAGAATAGCTGCCAAAGATTTATTCTCTGTGTTTGTTGGACATATCTCGCATGAGGTCACCAAGGTAACAACTGAACATAGAGTATTTTTGCCCTTTTTATTGACTGAAATTTGTTTGAATATAACTATATAGAGAACTTAACTTGATCAGTCACCTGCGACCAGGTAACTTAATTGGTTCGAGAGTCCATCTTGAGTTCAGAAGGTCTCTTGTTTCAAGTACCGAGTGTACAGTTGGCAAGGGGATACTGAATCTCGGTTTAAAATAATGTTGTCAATATGGGCGAAGACTTAAAAATAGGAGGCAGAAATGTAACATTTAATGTAAGCTACTACTAGGCATTATTTTTGCATTTGGAAGTGTTTATATATGGACATTTTTATAGAAAATTCTTGATGCAGTGTGTGTTGTGTTTTAATTCAGACTGACTTGGTGGAATTGTTCAGTGGATGTGGCAGAGTTGAAGATCTCTTTGTTGTGGAGAATGGTCGAGCTGGAAGCTACAACTATGGGTATTGTATGGATAGTAGTATACTTCATCTATATAACAGTATGTCCTATTGGATTATGTTGATCACTTGACTCCTTAATTAGTCCCCCAACCTGGGGGGGAGGGGGGGGGGGGGACTATAGGTTTGCCGTCAGTCCAAGAAGTTTGTCCATGACATATCTTCTATACTATTTCACCTAGAGTAACCAGATTTGGTGTACAAGGACATGTTGGGATGGCAGTGCAAGAATTAGGTCACAGTGACCTTTGACTTGACCTTTGAACTTTACTTTTGAAAATGTTTGTCTGGGGCATATCTTCTATACTTTTTCACCTGGAGTAACCATACTTGGTGTACAAGGACATATTGGGATGACAGAGTGCAAGAAGTAGGTTACTATATCCTCACTGTCATCTATGCTTCCTGACTGTTCGTTAAATATAGAAATCATTACTGGTGGGGGACTATGCATTTCCTTGCAATACTCTGCCTTGTTAAAATAAGATTTATTTAGTGGTTTTTTTTGTTTGTTAGGTTTGTTCGATTCAAGAAGATGGAGAGTGCTGTTAAAGCAGTGAAAGATCTGCACCGCTGGCCGCTCCGGGGAAGCAAACTTGTCGTCGACTTAGCAAAGGATACATTTAAAAGGATTCAGGAAGGTTGGTGATATAGCATGTGATAGAACACCCTCTATGTGCAGTCTCGGGATAGAAATACGATATAGACCTAGAGTTGTCTAGCTGATATATGGAAGTTTGGAAGATAGATTTGAGATGATGTGTCAATGTAGCAATCATGATATATAAACGTTTATGTGACCTGACGATGATTTATATTTTTATTTTTACAGCCAATATCTTAACAACTCTCATTATTTTTATGTTGGCTTACACTATGTAATTTTTTTTATAGGAAACTTAAATGTGGAAGACTTGTTCGGGGAAAGCAAGGAAGAAACGGCCTCAAGCAAAGGTATCAGCAATCCAGTCACTGCCATGTCAGGGGTCAAATCAGGGGTCAAGGACATCATGTATGTGAGCAGAGTAAGGGAGACATGTGTCTCACTGGATATGGATGCAAGACTGAGGATGTCGGGTTCACCCGACTCAGGTAAGCTTTAGTTTAAGATAGATTCTTTAGTGCTAACTCTAAAAACAAACAGATTTAATTGTTTTCGTTTCATATTCATTGTTTTCTTGAAATGAATGTAAATTTTCATGATTGAATTTTGATGTTAGCCAGGTGTTTAAGAAATATTATCTGCTTGATGGTAGCCAAGTTTTAACATTGTTTGTCAGTTTAATGTTATCTAGGTGTCAAATAATCCCTGTTTGGCACCTGATCAAGCTGACAATATGGCCAAAATACCATTATTGGTCTTTTTAATGAAAAGAATGACAACAGACTTTAGGCCACAACAAAAGTCCACATGGCCCTTTGTTATTAATCGGTCTAGGTTTTATATATGTCTTGTGACATGATCTTATCATGCCAGTACTAATTGATATAATGTATCCTTGCTACTTGGTTTTGACCTCAGAGACGAGGACGTTGAGCTCTCTGGATGTGGACTGTCTGATGGAGGACATCAGTAAGGCTGAACGGGGTCGAGTTTCAACACTGCCTGGAACTCTGCCGGACAAAGCCAGCATTGAGAATGTTAAAGAGAAACTCATGCTAGGGTAAGTATGATACGCGGGTTATGTAATTGTTTTGACAAAACATGTATAGTCATTAGTCCAGCCTCATTAATCTGCTCCTTACACTATCCAGTATGACAGTGTTTCAGCATACATATAGGTGTTTTTGCTATGAAATATTGTCCTGATATACCAGTATTATTGGAGTGATCTAGCCACCTAACAATCCATACCCTTCAGCTGGGAACAAGCTGGTTGAATTAATCAAGATTCATCATATTCTTAACACTTGTAAGGCTGTTATCTTTGTTTGGCCCAATTATTTTTTGAATTTCCATTCCACTGCAAAAAACTGCAACTATGTACAAGAACTTCATTTGGCGGGCATGACTATAGCTTTGATAAATAATTTCGGAAAGGAAAACATACCTTGCGAGACTTTTATGAAAAATAGATAAAAGATAATGAACAACAACATTCTTTTGTAAATAAAAAAAATTGAAAAGGAGGACAACTGTTTGTGGAAAATACAGTGGGACTAAACCAGGATTTAAAACCTGAACTTCAGATTGTTAAACCGTCGCTCTAACCAATCGAGCTACCTGAGCAACGGAAGTGGCTTGGCCCATATGTGCTACAGTTATCGCCAAATATGAAATTAAGGGGAAGTTACTGAATATACAAAAAATTAAACCTTCCATACCTTAGCACGATGTACCTTGACCACTAGGCCTGTTATCTGTGAAAAAATGATCCCTAAAAATAAGACCATTGTATCAAATCCGCAGGAATTAACAGACCTCAAAAATGTTTAAAATTGAAGACCTTTTTACAGTGACTTATTTTCAAAACTATACCATTTTTTACCTGCTTATTGATTAAAGATATAAGTTGGAACTTTTTATTGTGCTGCATTGTACAGCTGCCACAGATGAAATTGTTTTAAAAGCCCTAAGAGCACATTAACCATTGTTTCTAGTAGAAATCCTATCTGTCCTTAATAAATGTGCTTTATTACAACGCAGAACTGGAGAAGACCTGGCATTGGGGCGAGAGAAAGTAAAAGACTTTGTTTCAGCATTACATGATGTGATGGGAACTGTTAACGCTTTTTTGAAAGATCACCAAATTGAGTTAGAAGAGGAGGAAGATAAATGTACCATGAACAGTGATTCAGTCACATTAAAAGACGAAGACAGTCTGTTGCGAGAAAATCAATATGATGAAGACAAATTTTCAGACATTTCACCGAGAACTGTTGCGACAAAGGATCTTGGTTTGATGAGTTCACTGTTCCTGAAGGACATACAAGAGCCAGTGGCCACAGACAGCAGCATGTCCTCAGACGACGGTGATACAGGTGTGTTAGGTGGGGACTCTGGCGTAGAGACTGATCATATTCCAAAATCTTCCAAGGGAGGGACAGCATTCATTCAGCCTGAAATTAGCCCAACATTAGATCTGCAGCCTGAAGTTATGTCTGAGCCTAAGAAACCAGACCTAATGTCCTCCCCTGTTGTACAGAGCTTCTTAGCCAGAGGTGAGTTATGCACATAGTTCAAACTCCATAGTCCTGGCTAATAGATGCCAAATTTCAAAATTTAGTGTTTCAAAATGGGCTAGGGATACTATTGGGCAGTAAGTGTCAACCTGAATGATATTTTGAGTTTATTTTGTTAGAGGTATTTCATAGATATCTTATATTAAAGTTCCAGTGTTACCATTTAATAATATAATGATATATAACATTTGATATAGCACCCTATCTAGATAACTTAAGCCACTCCAAAGTGCTTTACAGTACATAGATACACAGTTAATACAATTAGCATATACATTAATCAATACAATTTTGAGGAATTTGCAGGATTTGCCATATCCGGCGCTAAATACTATTCCTATGCCACCTGGCTAATATCTCCCTATGTGTGTATGCCTGCGTGTGGGCTGGAGATGTGATGTGTTCTGTTTGCAGTGGGACCGTGCTTCAAACGGCATCATTTATAGTACCACATCACTTGAATGCTACAGCACAGATACCGCAACATCCACCCCAAACCATTTTATACTCCACCCCGGTTGTTGGAGTTGTATAGGCAGGAGTAAAACACTTTCTCTGAATACCCATGCGTATGACGACTTCGGGGATCGAACCCTGGCTGCCTGCGTGGAAGGCCGAAGTTTTAACCACTCGACCAATCCGCCCATAACATTTGACATAGATTATTGGCCATATTCAATATAATTTTGTCTGTATGGATAGAACATTTTTAACTTTTAAATGTTCATGTTGAAAATTTGTTTATAGCTTCCCTAGGGAGGGGAAGAGGATATGGGCGTGGCAGTCCACCATTGAATGGCTATGGGAGGGGCATGGCCACCTTCCATGGCTATGGAAGAGGTAGGTGATCTGAAAAGGATGGGAAATTTATTTGAAATGAAACTTGCCATTAAAATTGTGTTATTTCATAACTACCTTTGTACATGTACCTACTTTTTTCTGAAGTTGATCACTTTTCTCAATTTATGTTCTTCCATACTAATCTACTCAATTTATGTTCTTCCATACTAATCTAACTACTTTAGATGGATGTATTAATGTTTATGGGGAAATGAGAGGCAGGCGAAGACGTTTACATGACTATTGCACTAATTGTAACATTATATTTTACATCCTGATATTTTACTAGGGATACTGATGAAGACAGTTTACTTTTTATGTGCCCACCATAAGTGGAGCATACTATGTTGTTATGCTGTCTGTCTGTTTGTTGGTTGTTTATGTAACCTTGTGACCACCTAAAGTCACAGTTTTCTACTGATTTGGTGTGTGTAATAAGTGATATGTATATGCGCATATCATAATACATGTTATATTTTACACAGCTACATATATATTTTGCCCTTTCTTGTTCCTGTGGCACATTTGAACCTTATAAAACCCAAAAATGCCCTTTATTAAAAAAAAGTAATTCTTTGAAACTCTTTTGTTGAGTGCTATTGTTGAAAGCTTGCAATTTGCATATCATTATCATTTACAGCATCATGTAATCGCTAGTGACATGTTTTTTCCTCACACGAACGTTTTACAGGCATCCTATATCCTCGGCTTTGTGGTGCTCTAAAACTGCTCTTAATCACAGAATGTTAATATTCCAACCAATAGAGGATAAAATTTCTCAATAACTCTACAATGAAGAAAGAGACATGTCGACCCTCAGATTAAGAGTCAAACATTTAACCCTGAACATACTAGTGTTAAATAGAATAATCCAATGTAAGGACATATAGCACTCCTGAGGAAAACAGTTACAGATTACCAATGGATACTGTAGAAGTGGAAATTGTCACGTGTTGGAATGCTTGTGTTGTGACGCTTTAACGACTGATCACAGTGTGGACATACTAGCATTAGCAATGGTTCTAAAATCTGTATGTTAAATATATATAATTCTACAAAAAAATATTCCTATTTAGATATTTTTGTGCTAATAAATTACTAAAAGTGAAAAACATGAGCATTTCCACACTAAAAGTTTCCACTTCAGAAGTAGGTAGAAAAGTACAGGAGGGAACTGTGGAAAGCGTTCAGCATGTTAAGTAACTGTAGCTGGTGATTAGTGCGGTTTAGTGTAAATTTTGTATGTTTTACAGGTGTTGGCCAAACCTTTTAAAGGAAAGCCAAGGAAGCTGTGTGGTTATGGATGTATGAATGGAAGCTCTGATGAAATCCTGGTGAGAGGTTGCCAACAACAGTAGGATACAACTCCCTATGGCTGTGTAACACCCCTGTCTGAAATCTGAAAGGTTTTACCCATTTAGCTGATAAATCTGTATACAGTTTTCTGATATCTGAATCAGACAAACATGTTAACCTTATACCTTTTGGCTACTGAGTCAATGTTTGTGTACAATTGTCTGACATGTAAATAAGCAGAAAATGGTACATGTACTGTATACTAAACAATCTTGCCTGCAATATTTTACCCAAGTGTGCATTCTGTCAAAGTATATCTGAAACAAACTAACTGATCATCAGGTGTTTCTTTGCTGTAGGTCAGTGTTTGTTAGATATTACAAGTTCATCAGAATGTTAGAATGTATTACTTAAGAAAAGTTGTAACATTGTTGGTCAGATTAGGGTTGCTCCCTTTCACATTTATTCCATTTAAAAACAATTGTTATAAATGTTTTTGCCCAGTTACTGTGAAGGTGAACCAGTCACATAAACACACACACAAAATCAGAATAAAGGAAAAATATGGATTGATGAAAAAAACATCTTTCCACAGTTGTCGGTCAGACTCTGATAGCTCCCATTTTTTCCAATCTTATTTTGTTGAAATCATAAATATTGAAAACGTAATTAGTAAATAATCATGTCTTGTGATAAAACGGGTTAACAAGTTTGGATTTTATACACTGTTGCGATTTTTTTGAATTTGAATCAAATCATATACATTTATAGGGCTGGGAAGATTGATATATGTTGTAATTATAACTATCAGTATACTGTACACACAATATCAGATACTATGGAATTCCTAAAAATATTCTGATAAAAACCTTCTCACAACATTAATATTCCAATGATAAACTTAAACTGAGAAAGAAGTTTTACTAAGGATGACAAAATTGAACAAACGCTTGGATTTCGTGGAATTGATTCCTGGAACACTTATTGTAAGAATGGTATTTTGATAATATATCATACACTTAGCTGAACTTATCAACAAGTCTACAGTGTCCGGGCCCAAATGTTCACCTATTTTTACTATTTAATCAGTCTCTACAGTATTTTTAATAGTCTTAAGGATGTATAATTCAGTGTTATTATTATGACCCAATATATATATTCTACATGTACTTTTATACATACTGTCTGTGCTACTAAAATAGTTTTAACATCTTTAACAAAGATAGAGGGGTAAGCTGGAATCAGCTTGTTTGTCTGTCTCTCCATCTGTCTAGCTATCTGGCTGTAAATAAAAGTTTGTTGAATAAATCCTCCATTTTCACCGATAGTCAGCGATATTGTAACCTGGGTATTTTGTTTGTATTCACAGGTTTGTAGAATGTTTCTTTGACATTTTTTTTTTTAAATGGTCGAGCTGGGGATATTAGTACGTCTATGCCATACAAGTACTACATGGTTAAAGGTAATTCCAGTCTGCATCATTAGAGTAGTTTTTGGCTGACAGACATTGTGGGTACATAGCCTAGTGGAGAAGTATGTTAACTAAAACATGATGGTTATCTCCTGCATTCCAGATAGTGTCATAACAAACAGTTGGTTGTCATGACTTAAATTTTGTTGTCATGACAAACAGCTGGTTGCCATTGTTTAAAGTTGATTGTCATGAAAACCACTTTGTTGTCATGACTTATTGTTTGTTGTGATAACTAAAACTGGTTGTCATGACTTATTAGTACAATTGTCATGGGATCAGTTGTCATGACTTAAGTTGGTTGCTCCTGATGATTATGACCAGTTGTAGCAGGTTTCATTATCTTAACATTGAGTCCTGTTTTTAAATCTATTTTCATAATAAAAATATGTAGAAATACAATGATATCTGTATATTATCAGAGGGCAATCATTTTAAATTCAAGGACATGTTTCATATTTTTAAAGTTGAAATAATAATAAAAATGTCAATGGTTTTAATTAATGTACAGCTTTTATAATATACCATTTAGATAATGAAGCTTGCTACAGCTGAGTCTCTGCTGTCTTTTGTCTTTTGTAATCATTGAATTGGTTGTCCAGTGCATGTTGTCATGGCGACAACATGTACTTTATCTTTTCCTCTGCGTCACGAAAATGAAAAAATATATATATATATATCGGAGAAATAATAAAGAATATTATAATACTTTAATAGCCTACATTACAATGACATTGTTTTAAAGATGCATTTTAAATGTATTTTTGTGAAAATTTATTGTAGATTACTATTGTTTTATTATTACATGTACATATTCATAAGTAAGAGATTAATCTTCAAATAACTTGTGTGATTGTCAAATCAAATTCCCTGTTTTTATTTAGAAGATTTCAAACATTGCCAAAAATCACTTTTGAGGAACTTACAGTATTTTTGGCTTGGGGTACATTTTACATTTACACACAAATTAAAGCTCATCACTTTTTCAGTAAACATTTATAAGTTGCATAATATTTAGCCAAGACATGATACTTATTCCCTGTCATTAAATATGATCATATTTGTTTCTCATTTGGAGAGAAAAGAACAAAATATATTGATATAACAACTCGGCTTAATATTATTACTGATTACACAATTACATGTTTTGATACTTTTTTATTAACATACTGAAGTTTAGATATAATAGCAGTCCCACTAAGATTTAACTGTATGTACCGGGTACTATGATGATACAAAATATTAATATACTGTAGTTGATATGGCTATTACATTTACATGTATTTGTAAAACTTTCCTTCACAAAACAATACATTCTACTATATTATCCCATGAATATATATGTGTAAAGGGACACTAAAAGAGATCATGTCTTTAATAATAATTTCTCTTAAATAAGAAAAAAAAAAAGATGTTAATATGCTTTTTTTTTTTTTAATTCATCCGCACACAACTTCCCTCCAGCCTCCAAATCCCTGTTGGTTTCCTAGAATGGTCACCATTAAGATGTCATTTTAAATGAAAGTGTGGGTAACTGAATTTGGCATCGCAAGTTACTATATAGGGTAAACATGGGGAAATCCAGACATTTTCTAGTGTTGTATATGGCTGTCCTGATATTCACCGATTGGTTTTAACTGTATACGTTTTTAAATGTTATATAACATGGGAATGCTACAAAAGGACATTTCAATGCATTATCAGGGTCTCATCATGTGATCATTTGTAGATGGTTTCGAAACATATACTTGAGTCACAATTTGGTGAAATACAGACGTGTGTGTGTACATATTGGGAAATCTAAAGTTTCATGTTCAGGTTCTTACCATTTGAGTCTGTATTTGTAATGACGATACTATCAATCAGTGCAATTATTCGTTAGTTGGGCATAACAACTGAATCAGATAATGTGGTGCTAGGAACGATTGCATCTCTACTCCATGGTAAGAACTTGGGTCTGGTGTTAGTACCATGTTCAGCGCCACACCCACTCTCATATCTTACTGTTATAACTCATTTCATCACCAGCATGCCAGAACACCTTAAACTGAACTATTTGGAAAGGTTGATTAATTACTCCATGTAGATTCTAAATTGGTAGTTAAAGATTAATAATCAGGTCATCCAGTCAGGAAGACAACTGTGTGAGTGGCCAAAACATTAGAATGCTTGAAACACGCTTGCATACTAGATTTACGTAGTCATACTACCTAGATGAAAAAGTTGCCTTGGTATTGGACAAATATTGTAACTCTCCAGATTTTCTCATCTGTCTTGATTTCCTCCTGTTTACCCTTTAACAGTGTTAGACAAAATTATCTTAACTTTGAAGGGTCAATAAACATTTTTATGTTTTCCCACAAAGATATGGGAGGTGCTTTAATATTGGAGGAGGGAAGCCTATTGTGACAAAGTATAGTGTATTGAAGTTTTAGTAAGTGGTTGACCTGATTTTCTTTCAGATCTGATTTATAATGAGACATTTTTCTTTCATTTCTACCATTAGTTGATGTAAAGTTTCTTGGAGTTCTAGTAGTTCATTCACTTGAGATTCCTCTCTTTGTTCATGCTACTAGACATTTTTAGTTCATTGTTAGTTTTTTATTAGTTTAGTTTAAGTTGTAGTGGTAGTGAAATGTTTAGTTTAAAACCTTATTTTCCCCAAGCGGTTCCTCTCTGTGGCCATCATTACTCCGAGATCAAGACCGTTATTCGTTGTCTTCAGTCATTCCTATGGTCTGTCTGATTAAAACGTTAATTTATCACCTATATTATAGCCAAAGGTGATAAACTAACATGTGCATTAAGTCCAATTTTTTCTTTGGTTGGACACTCTTGGTTCCTTGGCTATATTGCCTTTTTGTTAATACATGTTAGCTGTAAATAGGGCAGACATTTACAACAGAATGGGGCTAGTTACATTCCCCGATGTATTAGCTAATTCTGGAAAGTAACCACCCCACCAATTTATATACAATTTTATCGCATAATGCACTGTGTTATCCAGTGAATATACCCATGTCATATTTTTTTGCGTATTAACCCATGTAATATGACCAATCAGCCCTGTGATTGGTAGTAATTTTCTATTGTTTCAATTGTGATGTCATGCCTAGGACAAGTACATGACGTCACAGACTGACGCACTGGAGTCAAAATGGCGGCTTTTTACATTTCAATGTTGCATAAAAATTGTCGTTTTATATGAATAAATGACACAAATCTTGATAAAGTGATAAAAAGAATCTTACACTCCTTTCACTTTATATGAAATTTATGAAACTCGTCACAAATTTTTCATTTTAGCTCAATTGAAAATTGAAAAATTCTTGGACTCGTTTCATAAATCTCATGAAATGGAAACTCATGTAAGATCCTCTATGTATTGAGCTTCACTCGTCATCACTCTGCATACCTTTTGGTATCAGTGGTGTGGCATTCTACACCACCTATAATAGTAGTAATACTAGTAGTATGTATAGATGTCACATGTTTATGTTTACAAATTTTATTTTCTATACTTCATTGGCACAACTTAACGCAATGTTTGTCCTATTAACTATCATCACTTGATCATCTCTCTACAATGTTATAGAAACTTTGTTGCATAAATCCTTTGAAGAACTATATTACTATGGTAACTATCGTAATCATCTTTGATATTTGTTGCTTAATGTTAACCCAGTATTTTTAATATATTTTAATTCAATTTGAGATGTAACAGCATTTTATTGGTCAATCAAAATAGATGTGAATTGCTGATGTAATCTGATTATCCTGATCACTGGTTAAAGAAACCCCAGTTTGGCTACATAAACAAGTTAAAATGTTGTCACTGGTTTATAATTAGTGCAAAGTTACGCCAATGAGGTAAGGTATAACAAGGAAGCTACAGTATTGCTTTGTAATAGCATGTTTGAATTTTTCAAATGTCAACCAGACAATATTGACACTGCTGTGATAACTCGACACATTGAAAAGTTATATACCTGGTTGTAAATCTCATTTTAACTACAACTTTTATACACTTCCTGCCAGGTGGATATATTGTTCACTTTAAAATTTGTGTTATCAAAGTATTTGTATAGAATATTAACACTTTTGTAACCAAATATTTACTCCTATAAATTCATCGGATAACCTTTAAGGTTCTTTAATCAATTTATCGGATTTGAAATCAGAAAAACTGGACCAGAATCTCTCTGCATATATTACAGGTATGCAAGATTCCTTACTTGGAGATAACAAAATCATATTGTATAAACATTGTTTTATTACAGTCTGTATGAACAATGTTTTTGTAACAGACTGTACACAATTTAATGTAGCCGTATTTGTTAAGATGTTGGTGTAGATTTATTTTGCTTGGGACCAATTTTACTGCTGTTATTTTTATTACTGCAATAGTATATATATATATATATATATCAAACCTTTTTACACTTTGTAATGGATGTAGGTGAATATTTTATAGTACCTGTATAAATATGTCATGAGTTGGCCACCACTTCTATACCTGCTTAAGGAGAAGCAAATGTTAACTTAAAATTACTGTTCACCACCAGTATTTCCAACAAAATATTGCTTCTCATGTATTACTGTTAAGTTACAGGGGTTCATTCAAAGAGAAAATATGAATCGGGGTCAAAGCATGTTTTCCAATTCATACTTGCCCAGACCCTAAATATATTCTCATTTGTAATAAACACCAATGATTGAGTGGTAATGGACAACGATTCAGATTCTTGTGTTTATGATGGAGTGGGGCTTCTCACAGTTTAAGAAGAATGGTTCTCTTGTTGTTGTTTTTTGCAAAATGTTATTTGGAAGCATATGGATACATTCCTTTTCTGTTTTCAGATTTGATAAAAATAAAATCAGTGATTCGAATTTCACCACAATATATCATTAAGGTTATATGCTACCTTTCTATGTTGAGTTATCTCCTTTAGAATATTTGAATTTATGATTAGCAATACCTAATCATTCAGATGTACCTGAGTCTTGTATATCATTGTATTGTTTTTGTGATACTGAACAGGTGCTTGTTTTATTTTTAATTGATTCATAATCCAAATGGCTACCATGTCCTTTGATTGGCTGTGACATTTTTGACCGATAATTCCATCAGATAATTCTAAGCAAATATTCTTTTTTGGGGGTCAAAATTTTATACTTGTTCGTTAGTGTGGAACTCTTCAGGAAATCTTCAGAATCATGTCACAGTAATTTAACGTGCATCCTTAAGTCACTATGTCACAGAAAGGTAACATATATCCTTCAGTCTCCATGCCACAGTAAGGTAACGTAACATCCTTCAGTCTTCATATCACAATAAGGTAGGATATACCCTTAAGTCTCCGTGTCAAGTCCCTGGTAAGGTAACAGTATATATTAAGCTGACAAAGCTTAATACAAAAAGGCCCTGGCAGTGAAAACTTTTGAGTTTGTTGTTCAGTAAATGAAGTTTTCATGTAAATATTTTGTAAAACTATCTTTACTCGGATATCTGGTGAAGTCATATTATTTTCATACACTGATACACTGATAGTCTGGGGAAAGGTTCAGTGCTTGGATGATGCTATTTACAATGTACAATGTATGTCTACTTTACCATTTATATTTGTATTGGTGCCATTAATGGAAAATCAAAAAGTATTTATTAAGAAGGGTCCACAGTATAGTAAAACTAATGTAAAAAGCTTGTTACAGCGAAATAATTGTAGTGGAGACATTTTATGTTTTCCATATATTCTAAAATTCATTAACTAAACATTTCACTAAAAAGTTGGTGAGACACAAATTTTGTTGTTGGATTTGCAACTAAAAATGGAAAATTAATGATTAAATATCTTTGTATTTATCAGGACATTTTCCTTCTGGTCTGTGTAGATAAAATACCGGAGTATATTCGTTCAACTTGGTAAAGTAAAGGAAATGTAATTGGGTTTAAAAGAACTGAAACATCTCTCACCAGATTTTCAGGTGAATTTGATTAAACTCTGCTAGTAATATAAACTGAGTTGATGTAAATGTTCAACGAACCATGACAAGTAATTCTTACAGATAGGTGTGATTTGATGTGGAACTTGTAATTTCTTTTCTGTACTTTATTGCCCAAAAGATCATAAGAATGGAAAGCTGTTTGAATATTTTTCTACTGGAAAATTCTTGAAGATGAAGAAGAATATATATATTGTTTTAATGGGTTTGTGGAATTGAATATTTTTGAGGAGAAAAAACATTTCTGTTCTATAAATAATATCAAACTTTTAGAACATGGTGCCATATTGATATTTTGATGTTATTAATCAGACTTGTAAAAAACATGATATTAAACATTTTTATTGAAATCATCTTGAGTTTTTCATTACTTTTGATAAGTGTATTGAATCGATCTTTATATATTCATGTTCTACCTCTCTGATCTATTCTTTTATCACATTTTCACATGTGAAATATTGGAAATTAACATTTTGATAAAAAAAAATCCACTGCAATAATTACAGTAACAATTTGAGTTCCATTGAGCCAATTTTGTTATACTTTGTGGGACGGATATATTGGATGTTGTGAACAACTGAGTTTTACCAATAAATGATGGAATTAATATTCAAGATGGCCGACTTGGCCTCTAATTGGATGATGCATTACAGCTTGTAGGTTGACTTCTGTTCGGCTGATTTGATTATCTTCTTTTGTGATGCTTAGTTTGCGATTGCTGGGTTAGTTTGGGGATATTGGTTAGAGTCCCTTTATAGGAACAACAACTGATTATATTTTTAACAGACTTTTATAAAATTTCGCACCACTGTGATCTTTTTATAAGCATGATCATATATTTTGATGAGTTAGCCTTTGGCTTACAGTTCTAGTTTAGTTTTCATTAGAGATATTCTTTAATACAGAAGTAAAGCTTAAAAACATTTCATGCACTGGCACAATGACATTTGAAACCGTACATACATATGTGTATACACTACCTTGAAAGACAAAAAAGATTAAAACACCAATTTGAACAAAAAATCTTTAAACTGTTGGCTTGTATGATATTCTATTTTATTTGAAGTTGCAAACATTGTTCACCAAATTTTTAAAAAACCTGTAAAATTGATGTACTAATGAAAATATATATTGCACATTATGACATAATATGTTTAATGTAAATGGAAAAGGATATATGTAAATTCTTCACAAAATTGTGTACAGTTCAATAGTGTAATAAGATGACAAAAAGTTGTTAAAACCTTGTCCCGTAGATCTTGGAATATTATAAAAAAAAGTATCGCAGTTAAAGGAATACTGTGATACCTGTGTATGGAGACTGTCCCACAGCAAAAAAAGTGTTGCTGGACAGGTGGCCTTTATAGACGGTCTACGCTGGACAGGTGGCCTTTATAGACGGGCTACGCTGGGCAGGTGGCCTTTATAGACGGGCTACCATGTTTATCCTGCATGCAATAAGCCCATGGGGCAACAAATAAACTGATTCAAAATGTTCTGGGGGTTTTGCTGGACAATGAAAAAGCATTTGTTAGTATTTCTACTAAACTCTATCTGACTAATGGGTGGGCTTATAACCAGGCATGGGCTTATAAATGAAATTGTTAATAAATTCAGATTAAAGAAAGCACAATTTGGGTTATGTATTGTAATTATGAGGCCAGGTTGCTCTTATGTCTGATTATACAGACTATCTTACTGTACAGAGTCTGATAAGGCAGGTTTAAAAGTAATATCCGATAAGACAGGTCTGATTTTGTCATATTGGACAAACTATAAGGTTTTACTGTACAAACATAATAACTCCTTTTTACACCACTTAGGACAAAGCCAGTCAAAAACACAAAAGACTCGATATTTCCATCCAAAGACAAGAAAATATTCAAACATTTTGAGGTAAAAATAAGTAGAAATAGATGTACAATAGGTTACACAGAAAAATAGGATTCTCCACAAAGTACACGTCATGTCCGATATATACAGTTCAAGTACACCAAGGATAAAGAAAAGGTCGGGATAAAATGTCCATTATACAAATATAAATATGTAATACTACTGGACTGATCCTACATACTGTATAGTCATTTATTTCCTCACTAATTCATAGGACAATTGTGTGATACAGCTAAAATTTGATTAATGTTAAAATATGACCTGTAATATTATCTGCAATTAAAAACTGAAAATGCACCATGTTAAAAAATCTACAAATGCATGTAGGCAAATTGATCTATATTATGACATGCATAAAATATTTTCTGCAACAAAAAACTGCACTGTAGCCTAGTACAGACTTACTTCTATAATGATGTCATAGTCTAGCAAACATGTATGTATGCCATCTTAAACAATCTGGCAATGCAACAACAATTACTATTTTAAATAATTTGTATGTTTTTATATTTAATGACAGATGGACTAAAACACTGGAATATTTGTTGGATGGCTAGAAATAAACTGAATAGTTCAAAAGCAAAGCTTGAAGCTAGTAATCGGTACAATTATACTTTTCGATATCTTTTTTACAGAAGATCAGGTTGTTAGAAAATTGGCATCATGGGCAATATTAGATACTCTCACATCTCCAAATCGTAAATGTTCAATCCATGTATAAACAAAATCCTTGTGTTCACGGCTCTATATCTTCAGTCACCAAAGCATTTATTCTTAATAGATATGCATTAAAAATCGGAGCAAGCTCTGTCAAAGATGGTCTAATTCTACAATTTTCCAAGAATACACAAGACAAAATATACCACAGCGTCAGCACACAAGGGCAAAACATAATACAGATCACACAAGGACAAAATATATACAACAGCATCAACACACTATGACAAAATATATCATAGTGTCAAAATACAAGGACATTCAAACAGATATTTTACAATATATTTGCAACTTTATCTTCTGCACTGGAGTAGAAAATATGATATTTGTGTAAAATAATTGATACATAATGAAAAAGGCAAATAACCATAACTCCTCACATTTATTCTAAGGTGTGAAAAATAGGTTCAAATTGTTCCATACACATTTCGAGAAACTTGATCCAAAAAAAAGAGAGTAAAATTATGTGATAGCTGTCGTTGGAGGTTGGTGTATGTGCAGTAGGAATGCTCCAAATGGAGACTTCAATCCGACAAGTACAAATTTATTGATCACCAGGGTATTGTTTGTTACTCATACTTGACAACTTGTCCTATTTTGGAGGGAGATTCCCATATTTGGACCCCAAAAATGAGCCTTTTAGCTAGTGAATTGCTAACCTATTCCTATTTCTAAGATCTGATGATTTCATCTAAATTAACAGCTCAAAAAGTGTTATTTTTCCCTACTAGGTATTTCACATTTTACTTGTGTTTTTAAATTTGAGCACATGTAATCTCCCTCAATTTCAAAAAGTTGACAAGTATGGTTATTTGTTATTCATGAAATTGCAAACATGATCTGCAATGAATTTATTCGTTAGGTCTTTAATTATGTTTCAGCTGTAACAGATGATCAACATGTTTCTGACATTGTTTTGCTTACCATTTCATATGAAATTCTTAAGGGGTGTTTAATTGATAGCATACAGTTTCTTTCCGTATATGGAACAAGGCAAAGTTCACCTTTGAAATTGTAAAGTAAATAACAATTTACAAGTTGTACAGTTAAAAAATTTGACTAGTGTTAAGTTTTCAAAGCTTATTGACCATGTGACAGACAAATAGATGAACAGTCATGCTGAAAAAGTAAACAAAAGCGATAAAGCATTGTTGTACTACATATCCATCATGGATCATGCACATTATTTGTAGGTTATTAGGTACTCTGGGTAGGTTAGATCTTGGTCGTACACCACAAATTCACGACTTCCAAATCCTCCACCGTCAGCAACTACCGATGTGTAGACCTCTGTATGTTGGTGACAGACCGCTGCACTACAGGTCTTGCACGGAGGCCGCTTGAAGCTGTTTCCCTGCTTCGTGATGAAGATATCTCCCAGGCACATCCTCAAAAGGAACATATAGCTGTGGCCCTGGCTGTCCCGATCTGTAAACAGCATTAAGTTTCTGTCAAAATCTGGTCATGCCTAAATCAAGTGAGATGAAGCAATTAAAAATGCTAAGGTTAAGATAATGACCCTGGTAACATAAGGTTAAGATAATGACCCTGGCAACATTTGTTTTCATTGAAATTTCAAAAACAAATAGAAGAATGACATAAAGAACAGAACATTACACAAAATATCAAGAAACTAAGCAATATAGACATGTACTAGCTTACTTTTTTCTATCTCAAAGATAGCAAATGTGTTACAATATTTTCTTAGAATTGAAACTTTACAAAATAGTTATGCTGAAATCTACATTAAGACAAGAGTGTACTGTAGACTATGCTTACCTACATACTGGCAGGACTTTGAAGCCAGCTCTGCTGCATAAACCCCGCTTCCGACTCGACCGGCTTGAGCCAAACGATTGTCCAGACCTTGGTGTGTGATGGTTGTCACATAAGGACTTTTGGTGCCATGGAACAAATATGTTTCATTGATTTCCTCGTTAAGGTATTGTGTCATTGATTTATCAAGATGTTTTGAGGAAACAGCCGGTCCGCTAGATCCAGGTACATCTTTCAATGCCTTAAAACCAGCCATAACGTAAGCCTGTCCGAACAGAAGCTGACACATATAGAGGTATTTCTCTAGTAATTTAACATTCTCCAACCTCTCTATTTTAACAACACTGTGTGATGCCATCCCAGTATTTTTAAAGGCAGTTTCAATGGAGGTGCGTGTCTGCTGATCCACTGCCACAAGTGTAGGGGTGGACTTGGAATCCACAGTCCAGTCCTTGACACTCCTGTTGTCTCTGTATTTGGTCCAGTACGGAGGTGTGTGGGGTCTCTCCATGCATTTGTACTTGAGAAAGGCCTTGGTGTTCCTGGCAGGAACGGCTGACGTCACTGTGATAGACATCATAAAAGTGTATAGGCTTCTTTACATAGAAGTGTACTATTGGTTCAGTTCTCTTATATTTATTTTGTCTCAATTATCTTATTTTGCATTCCAGAAAATGTGACTGAAATTTAAATGCCATTTTTGTTTTGTTATTTGTAGGAAGAACAAATATAGGATGTGCAAAATTTATGAATTTTCATTAAGAAAATATTTTTTTTTGTGATACTTCATTGAACATTTCCAAACCTGGTTTTTGGACTTTCTTGTTTCCTTGTAGTTCATCACTAAATGCCTGGGAAGAGAGGAAAAACAGTTAGCATATTGAACTTCACATATTAATATAGAACACCTATAGTCTGTTTGAATTGACAACTTACCTAGAATGCACAATTGAGTTTAGGATACATCTGTTTAAATTGACAACTTACCTAGAATGCACATTTGCGTTTAGGATACATCTGTTTAAATTGACAACTTAACTAGAATGCACATTTGTGTTTAGGACACATCTGTTTAAATTGACAACTTTCCCAGAATGCACAATTGTGTTTAGGATACATCTGTTTAAATTGACAAATTACCTAGAATGCACATTTGTGTTTAGGATCCATCTGTTTAAATTGACAACTTACTTAGAATGCACATTTGTGTTTAGGATACATCTGTTTAAATTGACAACTTACCCAGAATGCACAATTGTGTTTAGGATACATCTGTTTAAATTGACAACTTATCTATAATGTACAATTGTGTTTGGGATAAATCTGTTTTAAAATGACAACTTGTCTATTGTGTTAAGAATACATATGTTTAAAACGACAAATAATCTTTAACATACAATTATGTTTAGAATAAATCTGTTTGAAGTGACAACTTTTTCTATGCAGTACACTTATTTTTGCGATAAATACACAGGTATGGGAGATAACTCATCCTCCACAGGTATGGGAGAAAACTCATCCTACACAGGTATGGGGGATTACTTTTCCTTCACAGGTATGGGAGATAACCCATCCTCCACAGGTATGGGAGGAAACTCATCCTACACAGGTATGGGGGATTACTTTTCCTACACAGGTATAGGAGATAACTCATCCTACACAAGTATGGGAGATAACCCATCCTACACAGGTATGGGGGATTACTTTTCCTACACAGGTATGGGAGATAACCCATCCTCCACAGGTATGGGAGATAACCCATCCTACACAGGTATGGGAGATAACCCATCCTACACAGGTATGGGAGAAGCCATTTTTACCTGTTCTATCTCTTTTGAATCTTGTCCAAACACAACAACCTTGACTTCTAAGAGACTAGTTCTGTGATTATCTACGTAATCACGTACACCACCCACTATGGTACTAGCCACTGTATCCTTGGGATACTTGAGAAGGCCTGTCCCGAGGGCAGGGAAGGCAAGCGAAGTGTAGCCCTGGTTGTTAGCCTCCTTCAAACAGTCTTGTACAAAGTCAAACAGCACCTTGAAAACAAACAATTTGTTATAAAAGTAGGGACTTTTGGTCAAGAGTTATATCCTTTTTTTAAATCAAATGATGACATTTAAATATAAATATTCGGTCTCTCATCTTGCAAAATTTATTGTATTCGTACTATATTTATATACATAATTAAAAAGATTAAGTTTCCATGTTACGTAGGTAAGTATGGTAAAAATGAGATCTATGGTTTCTAGAAGAGCCCTGTAAAGGTTGAAGCTGCTAGTTTTGTGGGCAGTCGTTGGGTCTTATTTTCCCTATATACTGTATATATAGGTGATAGAATCATGGCACAGTGTCTAGAAAAAGAAAAGCTTTAAATGGTCAATCTAGATGACTTGTATATAAAACAGCTGTGTAAAGCGACCAATATTATGCCATGGACATCCAACCGTACCTGTTCTGGTCTTTTATATCCAGTCTGCTTGGAATAAAATGAGGTGAACGTCCCATGATACACCTTTATACAGGGGAGGTTGTAACCCCCGGTAACGGTCAGTTTCCCTGGGACGATGCCATTAGGGTAAAAGTTGTCACACTCCGTCTGTAAGGCGGGGCCAGCCACGGTCAACAGGGACTTAGCCAGGCCAGATCCACGGCCTAATTTCAGGTCCTTAGATGTACTGTTCACAATGACATCTACCTGCAATCAGGACATTTGTTCACATTCAAAACTAAAAATTAAAAAAATATGAACAACTGTAAAAATACCATTGAAAAAAGATTTGAAATAATCTTAAATTGTACTGAAACAAAATTTACAACATGTACATATTTGATGAGTAAATGTATGTTTCATGCTTAGAATGTGATGAAATACTTTTAAAACTTCAAAACATTTTAGTATATAACGCGTGTGGACCTATTATTTTGATAAAAGCAATTAAATCACATTGATGTAAATATCTAAATAAAAACTCTCAAAAAATATATTTATACATTATATTTGAATTATAAATCAGTTTAGCATGCCACACTTATGGGTTAGTAAACTATAACAATATTGCTTAGTTACCTTCTGTTCAGCCATTTTACCAAGAACAACCTCAAAATGGATGGGGCCGATCTTTTTCTGAGTTTGGCCAGCAGTGAAGGGCACTGGTTTAGCTGCTGCTCCAGGTGCTGTAGGAGGACATTACATGTGAGTCTATATGTACTGTAGGAGGACATTACATGTGAGTCTATATGTGGTGTAGGAGGACATTACGTGTGAGTCTATATGTGCTGTAGGGGGACATTACATGTGAGTCTATATGTACTGTAGGAGGACATTACATGTGAGTCTATATGTGGTGTAGGAGGACATTAC